GCTGGGGGTACCAGGCAGGACAGAAACCCCAACAAACAGGACCCACTCATGTTACACACACACACACACACACACACACACACAGAGGAATAGGAGAAAGAGGAGATCATTAATGGTTATAATTCCTAACAGAATCCACTAGAGTCTTCTCCTTTAAGAAAAAGTATTTTTTGTGTTTTTAAGAGTATTTTGCCTACACATATGTATGTACACTGCATGCATGCCTGGTGCCTCCAAAAGTTAGAAGCAGGTGTTGAATTTGCTGAAACTGAAGTTACAGATATTTGTGAGCCACCATGTGGGTTCTAGCCCTCAGATAGACAAGAATTTTTCCTAAGCTATGGCCACGTTTGTGGATCTTTTGCATACCCTGGTGCTGGTTGGAGGCTGCCATATGTCACCAAACCTGGTAACCTGAATTCATTTCCCAAGACCACATGGTGGAAGGAGAAAACCAATGCAACAAGTTGTCCTCTGACTTCCAATAGGTGCTGTAGCACATGTCCCTACTCAATAATAAATAATGAGAAAACAAATGCTAAAATAAAAAAGACAGCACTGAGAGCACTGTGACTGCTTTGTAAAAAGTTGAGCTAAAGACACGGCTCAGTGGTTAAAAGCTTTAAACGCTCTTGCAAAAAGACCCATGTTTAGTTCCCAGAACCCAAAGCAGGTAGCTCACACTCCTTGCAACTCCATTTCCAGAAGATCTTCTGGCCCCCTTCATGTATGTGGCATACACATCACACATACTCACATACACATGCACATGCACGCATGCATGCATAGATGCAAATAAAACTATTTTTTTTAAGTTTCAAAGGCAGAGTGTAGTGGCTTGCATATGTATTTCCAGAAATTTGGAATATAAGGCAGGAAGATTGCTATAAGTTCAGTAAGGCTCTGTCTTCAAAAGTTAACAATAACAAAACATAACCAAAACAAAAAGTTTCAGTAAAACTCGGAGAAAGTTGAGTCCAAAGCACTATCCTTATAAGGAAAAGAGGTCTGCCAAGTACATCCTTGCAGGGAGTAATGCTCCATCATCCGTGTGCTTTAGGAATTCCAGTGCATGGGAACACTAAAAGGCAACCTTATATTTTCCGTATTATTCTATAAATCCCTTGCAGCCATTATTCCTGAATAGACACAGCTCAAAGGCGGCCCTATGCATAGGCTCCACTGCATATTCAAAAGCCTACAGAAGCCTGAGACATCTGCCATGAGAACATGATTATTTACGGTTTTAAACCTCACAGGTCCAGGCAGCAAACAGAACCTGAATGACCTAGCAACAGCCTGACCAAGGGCACAGCAGAAGTAGACCCTGTACTGGAGGAGTTGGATCCTGACTGGAACTGTCTAGGTGCTGGGGATGAGGAAATGACGGGCAGCACACGCATATCCCTTTGTTGTTTCCAGTTCCCGTCTAGCAGGGGATAATTTAAAACCAGAGCATAGGCTACACATTTCAGTAACAATACACCCAGCTCAGCAGGCTCTTAGTGCCCAAGGCAAGACTCCACAGAAACTCTCAAACTTTAAAAACCAGTGAGAAATTTCCCTATTTCCATTATAAACCAATTCATACGGTCCTAGAATTAAGTCCCCCCCCCTCCACACACACAAACACAGATCCACTCACAAACCAAAGTAGAGAAATTTCATAAAACAGTGTTTTCCTTACAGTGTAGGATGGACTCTGATATTTTCTCTTCTTATTTTCTGGGTCCTTGAGGCACCAAGCTGGTTATAGCATCCCTGGGTATGTTCTGACTTGAGGTTGTAAGACACACAAATCAGTTTTCAAGTCAGATATAGTTTTTTGTTTTACCTATGAGTTCTTGAACTGGGTTTAAAACTACAGAATGGGTTGGAGTGGGGAGCTGTGGAATTGGAAACTGCAGAAAGTAACTCCAAATGCTGCATTTAGCATGTGAACTCTTGGTGTCATTTAATCCGAGAGGTACAAGGTGATCTGGTTATTCTAATATGGAGAAGAAATGAAAAAGTGATTGCCAAAGTTGGAGGCAGACACAAAGACTGAGCAGAGGTATAGGATGCCTTAAGGGGCTAGGTGGGACAGAATGTTGAGCACTGTGGGGATGTGAGAACTGGAAGATTAAGCATGGCCTGTTCTGTAAGCTCCCTCTTCTGGTGCCTTCCATACTATCTTAAAAGTACCTGAGTGCGCACACTTATGAAGGAAATTCTGACATGTACCAACATAGATGAACCTTGAGTATACTATGCTAAGTAAAATGGGCTGCACATAAAAATGCAAACACTGCAGGATTTCATTCAAGTGAGGATTCCCCTCCGGCAATCAAATTCAGAGACAGAAAGTAGAGTACAGGACACTAGCAGCTGAGGACAGGGGGTAAAGCATAATGCAGACTTACTTCTTGAGTTTAGAGCTCGAGGTTTGCAAGATGAACGAGCTCTTGAGGCTGGCTGCAAAAGAGCATGGACACACCTCACACTACTGATACACACTGTCAAAACAGCATTATACTGCAAGAGTCCTCGCCAGAGCCTCAGTAGATTCTTAGAACAGGGACAGCAAGTATTGGGAGCAGACATGACTAGGTTGTTCAGGCAATTCCAGAAGGTCTTGGCAAGAATAGACTACCTTTTGCCAGGTGGTGGTGGCACATGCCTTTATGCCTTTAATCCTAGCTCGTGGACCTCTGTGAGTTCAAGGTCAGCCTGGTTTAAAAGAGCTAGCTAGTTCCAGGACAGGCTACAAAGCTACAGAGAAACCCTGTCTCTGGGAGGGGGAGGTAGGGGGATATACTACCTTTCAGGATAGCTGACTCCTGAACTAAGCTCAGGCTCAACATGGAATCAGAGGCTAATGGAAGAGTTCTAGGTATGACCTTATGGCTGAGGTCACCAGGGCAGGGTTCTAGGTATGTCCTGATGGCTGAGGTCACCAGGACAAGGTTTTAGGTTCATCGTGATGGCCAAGGTCAACAGGGATCCTCCATACCCAGGAGGCAAGTTTCCTTCCTGTATGTACACATTCCAAAGAAAGTCCAACTACAGATCAGATGTGCTCCCTCAGGACAGCATCCTCTGCATACACAGATCCTCAATTTACCATCTGCATTCACAGAGCCTTTTAAAAAGCCTGTGTTGAAGAAATAAATTGTCTTACTCATTGTTCTATTGCTTTGCAGAGACACCATGACCATAGTAACTCTTATAAAAGAAAACATTGAGTTGGGGCTTGCTTATATTCTGAGGTTTAGTCCATTATCGCCATAATGAGAGGCATGGCTGCATGCAGGCAGACATAGTGCTAGAGTGGTACCTGAGAGTTCTACATCCAGACTGGCAGGCAAAGGAGGAGAGCGAGAGTGCCACTGGGCCTGGCTTGGGCTTCTGAAACCCCAAAGGTCAAATGAAGTGACATACTTCCTCCAACAATTCCACACTCACCCCAAGGCCACACCTCTTAATGTCACTCCCTAACCATTCAAATATGAGCTTATGGGGACCATTCTTATTCAAACCACACGGGAGAACAAAAACCTTGAAATGCTACCTCACTTATTTCTCAATTTCTTAGGAAACCATGCTTTTTCAAGGAAAAAAAAACATTATTTTTATTTTGTTGGCTGGGTGAACCTCCCTTCCAGACTTTGAAAGAAAGTTGTCCAGTATATAAGCAACCAACGCTGACTCCTTACAAACCCAGAGTTTAGGAGTTCAGAGAGCTTGGTGCCCTGGGGCCTGGGCATGACCCACATATAAGCAAATACATATCTCTTCAGTTGCTCACATGAACAACAAAAAGAAACTAGTTCACCGTAGACTGGGGAAATCTAAGGCTTTACAGCAGATTAAACTGATTCATAACAGTAGCAAATTACAGTTATAAAGTAGCAACAAAATAATTTTGTTTGGGTGTCCCCATAACATGAGGAACTGCATTAAAGGGTCACAGCATTAGGAAGGTTGAGAACTACTGCTTTAGAGCTTTGGCAGTCTTTAGGTAGAAATCCCCTGAAGAAAACCAATGCCAACAGAAGTTATGCACACACACACACACACACACACACACACACACACGCACACGACAGCAGGGCAGCTAGAAAAGCCCCACACAGACTGAGAGGAACACAGAAAGCCCTTCAGAAAACTTCCATGCTTCTCACCGTCTTCAGATAACTGTTTTAGAGATACAGGATAGGAAGATGAGGTTGAACCCAGGAATGGGGGTAGGGGCAGTGAACAGAAAGATGAAAAACCCAGGGTTTCTAGTGCTCAGAAGCACAGACCTGGAGTCCGGGAAGAGTGTGCTTTAAAGCTTAGTGATTCCCCTTTCACAAATGGTCTTGAAGAGAAACTGAAGAGGGCATGTCGTAGAGTCAAGCCCAAAGATCTAGGGAAGGAGGCAAGACAGACTAGGGAAGTGGAGGTCTTTTTGCCCTGGGAAGCGGCCTTTGCCTCTGCTTCAGTTCTGTGACCTCCCACACTAACCCAGAACAAGACATCATGATATAAGACAAGGACAGTAAGCAAAATGTGTGTGTTCACCTATTCTAATGCCCTTCTCTGCAGAGACTCTCTCAGCAGGCAGGCAGGCAGGGCCGATTCCCATGCAGCTCAGTGACAGACATAGCCTGCTTTATTACAAATGCTCAGCGACTGTGCGAACTGCAGATGGTAATTCATGAAAGAAACTAATTCAGTTGAGTGAGGCAGTGGCTGTCAAACAAAGGACAGCGAATCCGCACTGCCGACCCTGCTCAGCCCACCAGCACAGCTAAAGAAAGGCCATGCTTTGCTAATTGCATCATCTTTAGCAACGGAGGCAGAAGACACAAGAGCTTCCTTTTCCCAACAAAGAACTTTGTCATGGGCGGTCCTCCCATTTTCAAATGTAAAATCTGTCAGGACAGTAAAACTCTCCACTCCGCTGGCTACCTCAAAGCATTAGAGCCCACACAGACAAGTTATCTATTAATGACGAGTTGGGAGTTCTCACGTACCTAGATATATTGTTGAAGCTGAGAAAGAGGCGTTGGAGGCAGGGCAAATTATCCACATCTCTCTAGAAGAAAACAGAAAGCAAAAATTTATCAGTTGAAAGAAACAAAGTACCGTATTTTAAAATGCTTTCTTGTTCAGCTGCTGGAAGGCATTCATGTTGCTCCCCCTCCCGCAACCTCGCTCCACCGTTCATTTCTAGAGCACTCGGAGATCCATTCTTTGCTGCAGAGCGAGTGGGAGGGTTTCAGCACATCCGCAGGACCAGCTGCACTAGCGCCAGCAAGGTAAAAAGCAGTGGAGGAAGCGGGAGCGCTGCGGCTAGCCTCCTTCAGCGTGCTTTTGGGAAGGATGCCAGGATGCTACTTCAGCATTTACTGTAGCAAAGCGGTGTGATCAGGGCTTGTTCAAAGTCACTTTTCAAAGGGAGACATCCAAAAGCTTTCCAAACAATGGTATAAATTTCAAAGCGATTTGCCTCATTATTCTCAAACTTGGAAACAGATCCAATACAGGAACAACCACCCCCCAAAAGCAGATCATAATGTCACTGGAGGGCACGATAAGGTCAGCTCCTAATCTAGGCACAACCCGAAGATTTAGACTGTGTGCTCAAACACGTGCTAAAAGCATTCCTGCAGTATTTTAAGAAGTTGCCCTTAGTCAATACTGAAGTATTTAGGCTAGGATGATTAAAAAACAGTTACAAAATAAATACGCCCAACTTCATCAGGGAAAAGACAGACAAATAAGAAACCTTCTGAAAATCATGGCATACTAGCGGCACGGACTCTGCAGAGAAAGTGGATCAATCTGACTTAGTCCAGAGAAGAGAGCAGCCGAGGCAGCTGCAGGTGCAGAGTGGAGGGCGGGCTGACGGGAGGAGGGTAGACTGACACGCAGAGGGTAGTGGGCTGGAGGGTGGGCTGGCACGGTGGCCACACAGCCCCAGAGGCTGAGACAGGGCATTCTGGACTCCACGCACTCAGCCACTTCTCATGTAAAACTGTTTTGTTTCCAGATCAGCATCTGCCTTCTGTAGTGACTATCACCGCTGGCTCCCTGAAAAGCCTGATTCACAAGCGTTAGGAGTGGCGTCTAGATCTTTCCATGGTCCAAGGTGTAAGTCTATAGACCACAGGACAGCAGATTAACCACACACCCTCACCCCCGTGATTGTGAACCGTGTAAGTCGGTAAACTTCTAGAATCATCTCTTGAAGCCACTTCTTTCTGACTTTCCCACACTTGAGGAGGAGTGCAGGTTTCACTCCAGGACCCCGTTTCCCACAGGAAATGAAGCTGCTTTTTTTTATCTCTTCAGAAACAAGTCAAAACTGACCTGGAAGTCTTCTCTCTACTCTCTTATCCCCACATTCCTCCTGAGCGCTACCTCAAGTATTTCTGGGCACAAGCATTGTTGGTACTCAGTGGGGAATGGAAGCAGTGGCCTGCATCTCCTGGGAGGCAGAGCATCCTTTTAAGACTACAGTCTCATTGTCTCTCCCATGCCACAGGCAGAGCAAACACACTCCTTTCAAGACATGACTGCTTTGCAATTAAAGTACAAACTCAAATTATTTTTAGGAATATATCAAGTTCTTTTAAAAAAAATTGTAATGCTTCTGTATTTATTTTCTTTTATAAAATCTACCAATTTTTCAAAATCATTAACTGTCATTTCTTGATAGCTTTAAAAATACTCACAAAAAAACCCCTAAAAATCCAAATTTAGTTTATATACATGTCAATAACCACTTCTGTAGCTAGCCTTTCCAGGACTTCAAAAAGCAGAATAATTATCTACAATATTTCTGTTGTCTCAAATTTAACATCAAGAGAAAATAATTATTTTTTAATTTTCCTAAAAATTTTAAGATATATTTTTATAGCAAAATTCTAACATTACAACAGAAAAAAGAAAACATATTTGTCATATTAATCAATTACCTAGGCATAAATTTCTTATAATAAAAAGATCTGTTAAAAAATACTAAAATATGGCCTTCGAAAGGAAACTCTGTAAGACCCAACTAGTAGGATTTACCACCCAGCGCAGGGGCTGAGGGCAAGTGCTCACAGTGTCCCTCAGCCAAGCACCTCAGAGGGTCCTGGGAAGGCAGCATCAGGGAGAAATGGAACAGGTCACCTGAAGTCTGGAAGGCAGAGAGAGATGTTACTGCACTCAGGGCAGCTTTGTTATTAACATCTGAATCCTCAATTAATGGGGAAATGAGCTAGTTCTAATGCCAGAAAACAAATAAACAAACAAAACCATTGAAGTTTAACACAATGATCCAAGTCTAACTTTGAAAACCTTGCTTAGCTGTGTCCAACAACCTGAATCCACTCTATCACAAATGTACCAATTTTAATTGAGCATAGAAGGCCTTCATTAAGGCTTTGTTTTTATAAAGTACTTAATGTACTTATTTTATTGCATGTGTACGAGTGTTTTGCCTTCATATATGTCTGCACACCAGGTGCATGCCTCAGGCCCCTGGAGGCCAGAAAAGAGTGTTGCATCCCCTAAGGTTGCAGTTACAGCCACTTGTGAGCGGCTGTGTGGGTGCTGAGAAGCCAACCCTAGTCCTCTAGCAGAGCAGCCAGTGCTCTTAACCAAAGAGTCATCTCTCCACCCCTTAAAGCCCAATTTTCTCTTTTAAAATATGTCCTTAAAGATCTGTAGTTTTCTTTTTAGGATCTGTAGGTTTTGCTACTGTTGTTTAAAGTTTATCTATTTATTTATTTTAGTTTTTGAAATTTAGATGTCATTACATTTCCCCCTTCCCCTTCCTCCCTCCATCACTTCCCATGGACCCTCCTCAAATTCATGGCCTTTTTTTTTTTTATTGTTGTTACATATGAATATTCCTAAATGCATAATAAGGACAACCGGCTCAATTGCTATAATATTACTTGTATATATATGATTTCAGGACTGACTATTTGGTACTGGATTCCCTGGGGTGAACTTCAAAAAATATCCTGCCTTTTCCTTCATAAACCAGACCAAGACTATAATGAGATAGCAGCAGACTTTAAGCTGAACTTTGCCAGTAAATTATTCTGATGGTAGGACTCAAATCCATCCACCTGCTTGACACCAAAATATGATGTAAGGATTTTGGAATGATAGAGGAAGGAGAATTGGGGGTTGGAAAGCTGTAAGGATGATCAAGCTTTATCTCTCTCTCTCTCTCTCTTTTTTTTTTTTTTTTTTTTTTTTTGGTTTTTCAAGACAGGGTTTCTCTGTAGCTTTGGAGCCTGTCCTGGAACTCCCTTTGTAGACCAGACTGGCCTCAAACTCACAGAGATCCACCTGCCTCTGCTTCCCGAGTGCTGGGATTAAAGGCATGCGCCACCACCGCCCAAGCTTTATATCTTTTTAAGGAAAAGCCAACAAATTAATTTTACTGTTACAGATTTAACAGTGCTAGCACATCTCCTCTGGAGGTAGCTATTTTACAGGCAAAGAGACTATCATGGGACAGTTAGAATATTAATATATATAAACATGAAAAGAAAATGTTAATACTGATCAAAATAATTATAGGTCACATTATTAATCTGCTCATCACCTTAAATTTATTGCACTTGAAACAATACTAAAACTCATATTCAATAGATTTCTTTTTTTTCTTTTTTGTCGGAGTCAAAGCACTTTATTCAGAGGCTTGGGGAGGAAAAAGGCTGGATTGTTCCACGCTGTCTGCTGTCCTCCACTGGGCAGAACTCGCAGGTCTGCCGATGCTAAAAGGTCAACAGATTTCTGAAGCATGATTTAAAGATTTAGCATCATCTCAAAATATAATTTTGTTAAAAATGAGGCTGAATGAAATTATGAACTCTAAGACTGACAAGGATCAGAATTCCTTAGTTTTCCAAAGAATGTCTTTGCATCTGAAGAATTTGTCTCCTCTGCTCAGTACTGTTATCCATATTCCCTAACTCTGTAATAGAACTGAGTGACTCAGCAATCTGCCTGTCTAGAACAGCTATTACTCATGACTCAGCAATCTGCCTGTCTAGAATGACTAATACTCATGACTCAGCAATATGCCTGAATAGAACATCTATTACTCAGGCTATTCTTAGTGACTCTTCTACAGAGAAATAAAGAAGAAGCAAGGTGAAGACATGGGGTGCATTGAGGCAGTAAATAGAACAAAGGACAAAGAAAACTTCTTTACTATTGTTTTCATTTTAAATAAAAAAAAGTCAGGATACAATACACATAGAGGAAATCATTTCAGTTTGGAAAGTTACAAATGGATTCACTGAGCATGTTTTAGAACAGGAACAAGAAAACAGTACTTCTTTTCATTAAAAAACTAAAGGCCCGAGGCAGGGAACTCCATAGGAGCAAGACTGAGCCAGCAACCTAAGCAAGAACAGGTCTGAGGCAGCAAACTCCAAAAACGCAGGACTGAGCCAGTGAACTGAGGTGGAGTGGGCCTGGGACAGTGAATTCCACAGGCGCAGGAGTGGATTCAGATCAGGGTCATTTGCGAAAGCAGGACTGGGCCAGCAACCTAGGCCAGAGCAGCCTAAGACAGTGAGCTCCAAGTGAGTAGGAGCAGATCCAGACCAAGGATATTTGCAGAGGCAGGATTGAGCCAATGACCTGGGTCAGAGCAGAGCTGAGACAGTGAACTCCACAGGAGCAGGTACAGGGGAGCAAATGCTGAGCAAGCAGGCTAGAGCCAGAGACTGCTGTGGGTCTGGGTGTGAATCTGAGACCTCTGAGGGAGTAAACCTGAGCCAGAACCTCTGTGGGTCTGGGCATCCATCTGGGACATCTGAGGGAGTAGATTAGAGTCAGAGACCTTTGCAGGACCAACCCCAAACCAGGGACCTCTGTAGGAGTGGATCCAGATCAGGGACATTTAAAGAAACAGGGCTGAGCCAACAAGTCTAGGCCAGAGCAGACCTGAGACAGCAACAAAATCAACAAAATAGAAACAAAGAAAATAATACAAAGAATCAATGAGACAAAAATTGATTCTTCAAGAAAATAAACAAAAGAGACAAACCTTTATCCAAACTAACCAAACAGCAGAGA